TTACCCAAATTTGATTTTTGATTTTATATTTGTTGGTATATTTTTATTCTAATTGTTCAATTATGTGGAATTCTTTTTGTAAATCAGTTTTAATGATGATTTTTTTAAACTAAAAAAATGAAAGAATCAAATTTTATTGTGTCTTGGTTTTTGTTCCCACCTACCAGTTTTAAAGTAGGTTTGATTGTACAAATCCGGAAAGTTTTTTTAAAGTTGTAGTTTTGAAACAACAAAATATTGTCATGCTTAGGTTTATTTGTTGGTATTTGGATATCTACTTGTCACATATCGTACTGTATTTATTACCATTATATTTTATTTTTATACTCCCTTTCCCAAATAAATTGGTATTAAGATGCAGAATATGGATCGTACTTGGATGTATGAAAGACTTTATCAAGGGAGAAAAGGGTTGAAAACTGAATTCATTGAAGGGGTGAAAGAATTCGTTAGAAAAACAAAGGAACTTCCACAATTTTTATCAGAGGGAGGGATTCGATGTCCATGTGTGAAATGTGAATGCATGAACATATTAAGTGAAACAGATTTAAGAGCTCATTTATACAAATATGGATTTCAGCCTAATTATTGGACATGGACAGAACACGGGGAAGATAAGCCAATTTTTGATAATAGAGATGACTCAATTGATTATGATTTTGATGATTTAAATGAATTTGAGATGATGGATCATATGGTTTGCGATGCTCTTATGGATCATATGGTTTGAGGGTGGGGCACTTCACACAACTGGACCCATTCCCCATGTTGAGGTTGCAGAGAATATGGTATGCACTTTAGTTATGTTTATACTTTGTTGGAATTGGTGATTTGTACACTTTAATTATGAGTGCGTCATTGGTACTGTGCTATTTATTATGAGTTCGAGTTATTTAATTATGAGTTCGTTGTAGGCTATTGCTCTTGATCGTCCGGTAGACCCTGACGAGTTGGTTTGTTTCACTCGACGACATACGGATGGTAGTTGGATTGACGACCGCTCAAAGGAGATATATGTAATAACACTAACTTTTTACGGATGGTACTATTTG